TTTTTAGTAACACATTGTTTGTAAAAACAACAAAAAAAAGAGAAACAAAAATAAGAATCACTTGTAATTCACAGATCTATGACCATTATTACTATTATCATTTTGATTACACAGCAGTTTTTAAAGTAGGTTAATACTTACAGATTCCCGAAGGTACCCTTGTCCAGCAACATCATATAAACTGAGCCCTATTCTTGTTTGGTGAAGCCAAACTGACAAGAAAATGAAATATAACTGTTAAGATCTATCCATTAGCATATATATGGACAAAAGGATATTACAGAGCTAATCCAGTAATTCCATAAACGTATTTCTTCTTGCACATATCACTTACTCATTAACCCTAAAATTGTTTGAAACAAAGCAAACATACTATAGAATGAATGGCAGATTTCAACAATTATATCATGTCTCAAGGTAGAATGAAATTCATGCCTCTGAGGATATTGTTATTTACCTGTTAACCCTGGTGTTCCACCAAACATTGACAGGTAGTGTAATATGCATTTGAAGAAGCTGTTTTTATTCTACTGCAGTTAGCTTCACAGATCATTATGGTACTTAGAGGAATCACAACTCCAAGTTGTTAAATAAATGACCCTTGAAACTGATCTGCTACAGTTATGGGTTTAAAACTATCTGCTCAGGCAATCTGTAATATATTGGTGAAGTAAAATTACTAGTGAATTAAATTATTTCAGATAACCATGTATTAAAACTTTTGGTTCAGCTTCAAATAGTTCTAGTTAACTAGTATCTTTTGGATATACGAGGGCAGTTTTTTGTTTTGCATTTGTTTTTATAACAATGAACCCAAATTTATGGTAGAAATCACAGTTCTAGTAAGCTCCAGGATAAAGTCATAACAGCATAACAAAACTTGATCAAAAGACAAGATATTCTGCCATCCACATTTGCTGAGACAGTGTATCAAATGAAAGAGATACTATAAAAGCATGGACAAAAATCTATTTGATTCATTATTTGATTTGAGGCATTCAAGCACAATAAAAATGAATTACCTTTTCTCATGACATAATTAAAGAACTGCATGATAGAAATTCTTCCATAGGAATCTGTATGAAGGAGTTTAGCAAAGACTTTTGCGGTGAAGAACTGCCTAAGAATAGGAAATAAAGATTAAAATGATCTGCCAACATAATATAAAAATGACTTCTATATGAATTAGCAAGCAATGCCTATATGCTTAATGGCAATACAAATAATTCCATAAGAATTATTCAAATAAAAAAATATAAATATAAAAATTGTTTATGAATAGAAGTGCAGACTGTATTCAGTGTATTCCTTACATGAAATATTAAATAAACATCATTGGAAATAGATCCTTATGTATAATTAATTTTAAAAGTATTTTCTGAAACTTAGATTTTATTGCAGCAAATAAATACTGTTTTAAAAAGAAAAAAAAAAAAGAATTATTCAAATAATTAAAGATCAAAATGAAAAAAAGCAAAGTGAGAACTGTAGATACTACTCATACATCAAAAACTTAAAATACTGAGTCACTCATCTTTGCATTTTTTTTTTTAGTTTTACATTCTTTTGTCTTAAGAAGGTAGGCCTAAAGTGTCACAAGTAACCTGTATTATTTCTTTTAATAGCTTTATACCAATGTTATTTTTAATACATAAACATTATATATACACCAAAAAAACCAAACTCACTGCCATCGAGTTGGATCTGACTCATAGCCACCTCTCCTTGGGTTTTCTGAGGCAGTATCTCTACGGAAGTAGATTGCCCAACCTTCCTTTCGAGGAGTAGCTGGTGGGTTTGAACTGCCAGACTTCTGGTTATTAGTCAAGTGTCTTAGGCACTATGTCACCAGAGCTCCTAACAATGTATATGATATTTTGTTTGAATTTCAGTTACTAATGATATTTAATAAAATTAATTATAATGTTTATATTATATTTAATTTTATTATTTATTATTAAATATCATTAGTAACTGAAATTCAAACAAAATATCATACCATTGACTTACATTTTCATTAACATTTATTTGAGGTGTTTCAAATGCTTAACATAATGTACTCCTTCGTTAACTGTATTATCCTTACTTGCACTTTGGTCCAGCTTTTTCACCAACTTTCAAAAAATTTTCATAATTTATCATTGCTTCCTCTCCAATCATAGGTGGTGTCTGGTGTTTGTCCAGCAAGAACCATAAATTCTTAAAAGAAGTGCAGAAATGAAGATGTTATAAGTAACAAACAAAATTAAAAAACATTAACATGTCATTGCCATTGAAATAAAAGTCTGATAGCAGAGAATATTAAGATGAATCTCATTCCTTATTATCTTTTTGATTACTAATAACATAATAGAAACTGTTAACATTTACTGAGTGCCTCCCAACTTCTAAGTTTTTTATATATACCCTAAACCCAAACCAAACTCATTGCCATCATGTTCATTCTGACTCCTAGAAACTGTAAGGATGAGTAGAACTGCCCCTTAGGGTTTCCAAGGATGTAAATCTTTACAGTAGCAGACCACCACATCTTACTCCTGTAGAGTGGCTGGTGGGTTCTAACTGCTGACTTCTCAGTTGGCAGCTGAGCATTTAACCACTGTGTCACCAGGGCTACTTTTCATATACACCAAAACCAAAAAACCAAACTCACTGCCACCAAGTTGATTCTGACTCATAGCGACCCTCTTTGGGTTTCCAAGGTGGTAAATCTTTACAGAAGTAGACTGCCCAGTCTTCTTCCCAAGGAGTGGCTGGTGGGTTTGAACTGCCAATCTTCTGGTTAGTAGTGAAATGCCTTAGGAACTATGCCACCAGAGCTCCTTACAGTGTGCCTTTAATCCATATTACTGTATGATGCAAGTACTGTTATCCCTACTTTCAGATGAGAACTGAAGCACAGAGATATTTAATCTATTACCCAAGGTCAAGGATTTGAATGCCTGCAGCAGGACCCCAGAGCATTGGTTCTCATTAGAATCACTTAGGGTAGTAAATAAACATGCATTACCCTTGGGGGATGGGGCCCATGGAAACTCACATAGGAACCACTGCTTTGGGGCCTGTGCTTTTACCCACCTGCTGTACTAAGTCCATTAAAAGGCATTATGAGATCCTGTAAGATTTCAATAAAACAAATAAGAAATCTGAAGTAATGTTCTACTCCATTCTTACCTGTAATTCTTCATTATCTAATAGTTCTCTGCTTTTCCTTTGCAGAAAGACGGCTCTGGATTCTTCTCTTAATTTCTGTAGTAACACTTCATCTTCAGCTGGCAGCTAAAAATATATTGCAGAGTTAATTTTTCACATGCAAATTTTAGAATGTTTGTGCTTGATGAAATAAGTATCAATTATCTGAATAATTACATTAATACCTTACTCCTTACAAATGCCAGTTAAACAAAATGTTTACCATCTTTGCAAATAATGTTATAATTGAGTTTAGAAGGTAGCAGGTTCAAGAGATATCCAGCTAAGATTTCAAAGTTAACTCTTCTTCAGTGGTTGAGTCTACATAATATTAAATAGTGCTCGTTTTAGCAGCTCATATACTACATGATACTAAATAGGTCTTTTTCTTTTTTTAATTTTTACTTTGAGTGAAAGTTTACAGAGCAAATTCATTTTCCATACAGCAGCTCACACACATTTTGATTCATGACATTGCAATTCCTCACAATGTAACAGCTCTCTTCTTACTTCCTCCCTATAGCTACCTCTTCCCTATATCCTTCTTTTCTTATATAATCCTGCCCTCTGAGCTACCTCCCTATGCAAATACTTCTGTTCCCCCATGACTGACTGATCTAAGGAGTGTATCTACCTGATGTAAATGTTCACTCTATATGCCTGTCTATTGTTTGGCTGGAAGCCATGAGAGTGAGTTTAATTCTAGACCTGAAGGGTAACTAGGGGCCATAGTCTTGGGGGTCTCACCAAGTTCTATCAGACCAGTAAACCTGGTCTTTTTTATGAATTTGAGTTTTGTTCCACATCGTTCTCCGACTCTATCCAGGATCTTCTGTGCTGATCCGTTTTGGAGTGGTTGTCAGTGGTAGATGGGCACCAATTAGGTCTTCTGGTCTCATGGTCATATAGGCTGAGGTTCACATGATCCACTAGACCCATAGACTAATTGCATCCATCCATCTTTGGTTTTCTTCATTCTTCTTTGCTCTGGATGATGACAGACTCACTGTTGCATCCAGATGGCTACCTGCAAGCTTTTAAGACCTCAGTCACTACTCACCAAAGTAGGATGTAGGACAATGTTTTTGTGTAGTATGTTATACCAATTGAACTTGATGTCCCCTGAAACCATGGTCCTGAGGTCCAACTACTTGCTCCCTCAAGGTGGTTGACTGTGGCTAAGAAGTTAGCATAACTTTGGCCCTTGTTAGCTCTATCATATATGTGGACATTTGGTTTACAGCACATACAAATATACATATGTAGAAATACCATCTGCCAGCCTTATACACGGCCATGGGTATATTCCCGTTTGCCTAGACATACCTTATCATTCAGTCTGTCTACCCATTTATTTACCCGTAGATTAGGGTTTGTTATCACTGATAATGTATATTCTATAGGTAAAAGGGTTTATTTTTGTTGTCTGTACCTCTTGTGCACCTCTTGGCATCTTCATTTTCCTTAGTGTTACTGTGTTGGTCACTCACTTTTGGTATATAGCCTTTCCCTTCACCCAAATCAATATTTGTCTCTTAGGTTTTGTTCTTTAAGTAGCTTTTACTTTTAGCTATATTTAGCTTTCTTAAGGACTTACTTTTAAATTTATAACCGCTTGTTATGTATGCTTTCTGCAGTATCTCAAATCACATATGATTCTGCAATGTTCTTAAATCATGTATGATTCTGCAGTATGTTCAAGGCATTGTTATGCTACTTCTATAATATTCTTAAGCCAAAAATCCATAAGTTACTTATAAGTGACTTAGAAGTAAAAAATTTCAGAATTTTGACAGAAAAATGGAAGTCTGTGAAAAATATGGTAAATAGCCTTTCAGCTGGCCCTGCTTCAATATTCTGTAACAAAAGAAAATGTAACATAGCTAATTTTTGTAAACTAGACTTGATACATAAATCTGAACAACCTCTCTAATCTCTAACCTTGAAGAAAAGATGCAACATGTAGCTAATCTCTAACCTGGAGAAAAGACACAACATACTAGTCTTTGATGTCACACTAACTTTTATTATATAAAGCCAAACTGAGACATTCACACATAAACTTTGATTTCTATTCAGTCACCAAGAGAAAGAAGAGTCAGAGTATATCACTGTCTTGACTCTGACACTCTCTGAAGAGGCGACCATGCCACAGGCATTGGCTGACACTCTGCCTACTGCTGCCAACCTCAGACACTAGCTATGGGGGAATCTCTGCCAAGTCTGAACCATGATCAAGCCTTCCTCATGAGACTACGTGTAAAAGGTAAACACCTGAAGTCTGAAGATTTGTACTCTAATTGCTGAACGAACATTGTGATTCTAATTGTTAACTCTGATTCTCTGGTTCTAAATGAATGTCATGAAGTCTTACTTGAATGTCTTGCCATGACTACCTTGCAATAAACTAAATGAGTTATGTATAACAAACCTGAGTATCTCTCTATTAATTTCTAAGACTAAAAGGTAAACCTATACTACATACCTTCAGAAATTTCTTTATAGTTTTGGCACAAGGAAATATATAATTAAATGTAACTCTTTAAGTTTCCCATTCTCAATCTATTTTCCACTTTGGCCTTGAGAAAAACTTTTTATATCCTGTGTAACATACGTAGCCAAGTAAGCCTAAGTGTTATAAAAAAACTGACAATATAATGCAATATACTAGTAATATCCATAATAAAAATTGGGGTGGGGGGAGTCCAAAGCTCAAAGAAGGAGACAAGAAACAAGCCTGTGTTCTCAGACGCATTTATATTTTTAAAATATAAAATTCTGATATCCCTTTTAAAATGACATTCTGTAAAACATCTGCTTAGATACCACTTACCCTATAGTAAAACCGGGGAATGGTCTTATAGAATTCATTTGTGTTTTTTCTACCTCCTTTCCACTCTGAGTAGTATTTGGTAAATAAATCCATTTCTTCATCTTTTAGTTCTTGTTCACTTTTCTTTTCTGGTAATAAAACAGATCAAGCACTGTTAAAATCAAGTAACATTTTTACTCAGGTCATATTATATATTGTTGTTGTTGTTGTTATGTACTGTTGAGTCAGACCCGAATCAAAGCAACCCCTCCTTAGGTTTCCAAAGTGGAATCACTACAAAAGTAGATTGCCCAACCCTCCTTCCAAAGAGTGGGTGGTGGGTTTGAACCGCCAGCCTTCTGGTTAGCAGTCAAGTGCTTTAGGCACGATGCTCACCAGACCTCCTATTACATACTATAGTCAAATTAAAATACTTACAGTACTAAATGGTCTTCCCAATTATACTCAACACTGAACATCTATATCAACCTTTTTGAAATACTGAGAATCACAACCTTTCATTGTAAACAGATTCCTGTACATGTTTAGCCACTTTTTATAATGTTCCCTTTTCTTTTTATCACTAAAACTTGTCTTTTCCTCAAGTCACTGTCTCTCCTATAGACTTCTGGAATATTCCTAATTCATTCAACCAAAAATATTTACTGAGCACCTATTAAGCCCTAGCACCAGCTGTTGTTGTTAGGTGCCATCGAGTCAGCTCTGACTCATAGTGATCCCATGTACAACAGAATGAAACACTGCCAGGTCCTGTGCCAGCCTCACAATCCTTGTTATACTTGAGTCCATCACT